GGAAAAGTCTGAGGATTTTCTGATCATTTTCGTGTAGGGATTACGGGTTTGCGGAATACATCAAGACTGAAATTGATGACCTTGACAACGTTAAAAAAAACCTAACTGGATAAGCCGCCTTAGAACATTGAAACCAAGTGGTTTACACCAAGAAGACTGGACAAAGACAGCCAAGCACAAGTAGAATTATCGTTTTCAGCCAACACGTTTTCTTTTCAAAAGTTTTCTAAATTTTCTTAGTAACCTTTAATTATTGTTATAAGTGTAAAATCTCCTGAGTAGAATAAAATATCCAGGATATAATTTGCGTTACACAAAGTAATAGATGTCGCTATTTCTAATAGATTTCTGGGTGAACACTAATATTTTTAGTATCCGCAACAAGTTGATATAGGCTTGTTGAGACATAATTCATCTATAGGTATAATTTATGTATAAACAGCCATGTAGGGTTTTGCAAACACAACAGCTTTAGTGGGTATTTTTGTTTATATTTTGTATATGCCTTTGAAAAGACTCATTAAGAGTCGGAAGCGCTTAGGCTAGTTAGATACTAGTTTTGCACTGTTCGTCGTCAGTTTATTACACATACACACGCGCGTGCGAGCGTGTGTGCGTGTGAAACTGATTCAGCAACCTTTAAATTGCTAGTTTTCGACGCGCTGAGAAACACTGAGAAAATTTAGCTCCCTAGTAACCTAAAACTTAGCTCCCTAGTAACCTAGCTCCCTAATAATTTCTAGTAATGTGTCAGTACGGTATTTTATTTTAGAGCTTCATGAATCTGGACATTACTTACACAGTGGCAGTTTCGTTTCAGAAGACACATTTAGCGATAAGACCGGATATTTGATTAGTATCTCACTTAGTCTGGTCCCCTGCTTAGTATGCTCCCTGGGTTGCACTCCGCTATACTAAGTATAACTATGCTTACTATAGCGGAGTGCAACGCATGGAGCATACTAAGCAGGGGATCAGACTTTATCTCACTAACAATGGTACAGCTTTTAAAATTACTATTCTCCTTAACTTCATAGGCAAGGAAACAGGATGCAGACACCAGTCTGATGACGTAAACTGTCGGCAGTGCATAAACATACTTTAAATTGAACCTAAGGTATAAGTGAAATAGAGAGAAACTGAACCGTTTAAAGAAGAATTTAAAATTTCTGGATTTTGCTTCACCTATATGTCGCCATAGCATCTAAAATCTTTCAATGACTAGTATTTTTTCACTGTCTAGTATTTTTTATATCATTGTTACATATGTATGTATGTATGTATGTATGTATGTATGTATGTATGTATGTATGTATGTATGTATGTATGTATGTATGTATGTATGTATGTATGTATGTATGTATGTATGTATGTATGTATGTATGTATGCATGCATGCATGCATGCATGTATGTGTGTGTGTGTGTGTATGTATGTATGTATGTATGTATGTATGTATGTATGTATGTATGTATGTATGTATATGAACGATTGTATGTATGTATGTGCGTTCGTATGTATGTATTTACGTATGTATGTGTCTTACATTCTGTCTTAATATCAGTATGCCCACATGTGAAGTTCTGTTTGGACTGAATAAAAGCTTTTTCATCAAAGGATTATTCGTTTCACGCTTTGATTTTAAAAATATTTTTATTATCTCTTGTCAGCTAAAAGTTTTAAACAAATGTATATTGTGGAAAAAGAAAAACAAATGTTGATCAAGTCCTAAAATTTTTCTGTCTGAGAAATGAGTAAATCGTAGTCTTTTGCTGGCTGTGGGACAAGTTTGCACAGTAAATATTTATTGCAATAAGATTAATTGCGCGTCTTCCCTTTACATGTGTCATATTTGCACTCTCTTTTTAACATACGACTTTCCCTGATAAAATATTTATTGTCACACTCAAGAAAAAATATTTAGGAATCGGATGTTAGAATTAATTCTTGAGAAATCAACCCACGATATCTCCCCATAGTGCCAAGGGATTCAGTAAGGATGATTTTTTAAAACAGCTTTCAAGCGTAGATTTTGTTACTGTGGCAAAATGTTGCAAAGGGAAATTTCAAGCAGTTTTTGACATTATCAAGCAATTAATTCGCAGCGCAAAATGATTGAAACAGGCATTTGAAAAAATTATTTATATTTCCTTTTGTGAATTGTTAATTGTTCTTAGGGGATGGGAGTGGAAGTTTTCTTCAAATTCGACTCAACGAATAGCACAGCTCTTCTTTTCAAAGACGCATATAAAAGTGACTTCAACATAAATTCATTGGCTTTAGAGTTAAATCGTATATTTACATCATTCCCCTTCCCCAGTACCGGCGCTAGGGCAAGGCGAATTGGTAACGCGAATTCAGAGCCCCGCATTCCAGTTGTCAGAATAATTATGCATACTACCTTAACTTCACTGGCTGGACCCCTTGCCCTCCCCTCCCCTGTTAGCGTGGCGCCTTGGGTCCAGTAAACTATAAGGCTGGCTCTCCGCCATCGACCCCATGAGAGGCCATCGTTCTTGCAATGTCGCCTTTTACAACTAAGTCTTAAAGTATGTAAAAATTCTTTCAGTTATGATCGTTAGCAATAAATTCTGAAGTCTGTTTCTGCCTTTTTTCTGCCTTTTTTCAGATATTTTTAGACTGAAGTCAACCTACATTAATGAAATTGGAAATTAATAAATAATTTCAACTGAAAACGTATAAAAGCCCTTTTCTCGATGCAGACAACTTAAGGTATTAAAAACATATAGGAGTATTTCATTGTATTTAGCTCGAACTTATCTCGAACTCAAACTTATCATATATCCCTTCTTTCTTTATGGTATTATGATATATTTTGTGCTGGAAGTGTTTTAATGGAGGTAATGTACATACTATTTCAATACACTTACGTGGTATATGCTGCTGATATTTTGGTATAATACTCATTTTTTGAATACGTAATAAGTACAATAAGTCAGACTTTTGATAGCAGAGGCATATATTACAGTAACGAAGTAATTTTTCGCTAAAACCTCAATAACTCATTGCCTTTATCTTTCCTCTTTATTGTCATGTCTTCCCATCTTCAACTTTCAGAATATGATACACTTAGGGACGTACGTACGCAAGTACGTACAGGATCATACAGTCGCACAATTTCTTGCCTAAACAGCTTGAGATTGATAACTTCATATCCTTTCCTTGTTACTCACACTTTGATTTACTATGCATATAATGGACACCGTATGTCTGAAGCATGCATGATTTATTTAGAAGCCTCATCAAATACGGATATTAGTCTAATGTCCCCACCCCAATATCCTCAGTAGGTTTGGAAGACATGACACTGCCTAATGTAACTAAGATACACGATGAGTAATTTCCTCTGTGAACGAGGCGAGATGTTTGATATACTGTTCATAATCAAAGATAATAAGCACTTTTGATTGTATTAATGGTTTTCTGCGTAGGTCATAATTACAATGATTGCCGTTATTGTCCGTACAATCGATGCTTCGTAGTGTGATCTTGGAGATGAAGAATAGTCCAATAGATAATCGTGGATGTCGCAAAGGGCGACTAGCTGAGACCAGCTGTTAGCCGTGCTATGCATTCATTTTTGATTTTCCAGCTGAGGTCATAGACCTTTGAAAGAAGCGATTTATATATTAAAATATTGACCTTGTATTTTGGTTTTGTCTCTGTCGTTGTTCTTTTGGACTGGACTTTATACATATTTACCATTTATCTCTTGTCTCATCGTTCTTATTTACTTTTGGTTGGAGGGAGTTTGTCTTCTTGGGCATTTTGTGAAGGTTTTTGTATTTAAACCGGTTGTCAACTAGCGTTTGTTCGGCACTAAATAGTCAGGAATGTGCTGATGTGCAATTAAACCTTATATATATATATATATATATATATATATATATATATAGATAGATAGATACGAACGCACATACATACATACATGCATGCATCCATACAAGCATACATACATACATACATACATACATACATACATACATACATACATACATACATACATACATACATACATACATACATACATACATACATACATACATACATACATACATACAAGCAATGCTACAAATGCAGTAAGTGAAATATACTGCTCTTTACAAAATTCCTTCACAGTACCTTTTTTCTCTTTTTTATTTGTTAATAAAAATGCTTGAACATCTTAACGCTAATATGAACAGTAACAATTGGAAAACATAACACAGAACCGTTTAATGGCAAATCCATGATATAAACAATACAGTGTTGACGATTCGTCCCCATTTTAATTTGCACGTTTATAATTTGGTATTATTTTAATGTCTTAACTTCTCCTAGATTTTGAATTGCAAAAATGTTTTTATTTTGCTGCTTGTCATATTCAAATGTCAAAATATTTTGCTTGATTCTGCTGGAAATAATAATGATTGGCTTTATGTGTCATTGTAGCAAAGGTCCTAAACTGTTATCATGAGGAAAAGCACTGTGAAAGAAGTTTTGGAGGGCAACATATCTGTAGGTTTTTATCACAAGACAAGCGTGTAGAACATATAATGACGCTTCAAAACGCCAAAAAAGAGCATTTACCAACTCATCTTAATATATTTCCCTATATTTCCAAATGATTTCACTGCTGTATTATACATTTTCCTAAAAAAGAGAGACTATGTCGAGTACGGCATATAGCGTGTCAGCTGATTAGCACAGTTGATACAGTTCGCTTCGGACGTCACATATAAATTTGCATCTGAGATCCATTGTTAAGACATTATGTTTTCTGTTCAATTGATTTGAAAGGACATCTTCTCCTTAAATTATAATTTGTTCAAAAATATACTTTGAACTGTTATTGATCATAAACCTGTGTATTATGACTTCAACTAGCATCTGTAACATTTTTCGCGCAACAATTGAAAGGTGCGGTGTATGAGAAAAATAATCAAAATGGTTTCTTCTTTGTCTCTAGTATATTACGAATGAAATAAAACCTGTGTAACCGCTCCGGTGACCTAGCGGTTGGAACGTCCGCTTCAGATGCAGGAGGTCGCAGGTTCGAATCCTGACCGAGTCATACCAAAGATTTAAAAAAATGGTACTTACAGCTACCTCGCATGACGCTCAGCATTAAGAGGTTAGTGTTAGGACTGGTCGGCCTGGTGTCAGGATAATGTAACTGGCCGAGTGCTAGATATCACTATAAGCCGTCACATGACTGAAAAATTGTTAAAGTTACGTTAAAAATCTAAATCACACACACACAAACACACACACACACAACTGTGTTGAGTAGCACAAGTAATGGATTAATATTAAAGGCTCGCAAAAACTAGATATTATTAAATTCGTTTAATAAATTCAGTAAATAATTACCCATGAGAGATTCTCTATTTATAGTCGATAACTTTTCCAATAGAGTGCGCAGTTTAATATGTTTGATATAGCATCATATTAATAAAGCACTTTTTTAAAAAAAAAAAAATTCTGATTGGTCCTAAATAAGCCCACGAAATTCTTGCGTTGTATTCTCTTTATTGAGTGGCTACGATCGTAGCAAAATTTTCGTAACCTCTCCATCTGGAACATTTTGTTTTTACTGTTACTGTGAACATTTTGACGCTTCGAATCGATTCGCGCAATGGAATTGGAGGAAAAGGTAACGTCTGCTTGAATATGACTTATTTACCCCACAGTGGTATAGCATTTCATGCGTAGAAAGAAAAAAAAATGTCTTAAAAATCCCAAGACAAGAACAACATAAACAAATAAAACAATGGGTATTCGTCACTTGAAACGGAGTTGGGTAGGGTGCGAGGTATACCTTGGATTTGCCCTATATACAAGCTTGGTTTAACAGAAAACTTATAAAAATAAAATAAACTCACCTCTATTCATAGAAGAAGGTGGACATAAACTGGTCTCCTAAAAAACAAAACTTAATCCAAACACAGCAGTTACACGCTGTAAAATATCTTTAACAAGTTATTGAGTAATGTTTTTATGTGATGCAACTCCGACTCTAAATAATTATCTGTGTACGTCTTCTGTAGTATTCTGTTCCAAATAAAATAATGCAAATATCTGGTTACAAATACATTGCAGTAAATCTAGGAATGTTTGATTGCAGCTTTCATCTTTTCACATAAATAACCCAACAATGGAATGTTTGGTAGTAAAACCAACACACTTTAGTGTTAACATTTATTGTCTCTCTAACCGGTATCAAACTGAGTCATCACACGCATTGGACATTCTGTGCTGAAAAAAAAAATGATTACGTGTGTGTAAAATTTTTTATTTATTCGGAAGATGAGTTGCTCTTCAATTTATAATTTGCAAAAAAGTTATCGACTTTTAAATGTTAATGGTTGTAGAACTGCATCTCAGGCTATTTGTTACGCGCAACAAATGAAAAGTGTATCGGTAGGGTGCAACGTTAGTCAGAATGAACGAATTTTTTCCTTCTTTCTGTTTAAAGAATTTTCATTAAAATAAAACCATGTATCTTTCTCTCTAAAGAATTTCCATTAAAAGAAAACCATATGAAAAATTAGAATCTCAAATGATTATTGATAAAGCTTGATATTATTTAAAGTTTCATAAATTCAATATTAAGCCATTACCCACTTGAGATCTCCTATATATGAAGCAACGCGTCTTCTGTCAGCTGTCAGTTCTGCTACCGTTTCGTTTAAATGCAAAATACCCAATGTGTATTTACTAGAAGCGTTTAGTTTAAACATATTTTACTGCTATATAAGTCATATGCTTTTTCAAAGGAAGACAAATCAAGTTCTCAAGAACTTTTACAAGTGTCTCTTCATTATTTCGAAAGACAATGTTACGGCGACTTGAAAAAAAAAGAGCAACATAGATGGAAGATTAAATATAAACTAGATAGGAAAGAAAAATAAAAGACATGATGTGGTATAGTTAAAAGGATATTGGTGGCAAAAGAAAGGAAATGAAAGTGATAGATTTTACTTTAGGGCTATGTCAAAGTCATAAACTACGTCACGGTGAGTGATGCATTGTAGGAAATTTGAGCCGCCATATTTGACTTAGGTATGGATTCGAGTTAAGTTTAATGTATGCGTATTTTGAAGATTTCATACAAGAATACATAGTACACCAAAGACAGTATGTTCTCAGACCATTATCGCTGCTAACATGGCGCTCTACATTTTCGTATTTTGCGTAGGGATAGACTTTTAAAAGAAAAGGATTTCCTCGGGTTTTCCGTACTGGTTATACTGATTATTTAATATAAGCTCTGTATATCTTAAGTGTTGTTCAAAGAACCTCTAATTCCCTTTATTATGGCGTATGTTGATGGGTGTGATATGGGTTATAGAGTATACAGTTTGGCCTTTCTCCAGATGTACACCTTTCAAAAAGCTGTTAGCTCCACTTGGTCATTTTCACTTCCTGGGTAACAGAGGTAAAAAAGAGCCGAGAACTATTTTTCTTTTTACATTTTATATATTTGGTATTTCATGCATTGCACTTTCAGAAGCTGGTGTTGTCTAGTTTGGCAAAATACATTTTCTCTATTTTGATAAGTGCTAAAGATAGTGTACTTTAGACACAAGTTTTGAGCACAAGGGAGGAGTCATTTTAGATAGCAGTGTGTTTAGATCATGTACAATTTCAATAAGTAGAATATCCCAAGAAATATCAGTCACATTATATTTAAACAGCATAGAGGTATGCAAACATTCTCGTCACTGTGCATGTATGAAATGCAAACAACTTCACCTTACATACGTCACTTTCTCAAAAGTACATAATAATTGGTTAGTGCCACTTAAATATTTGTCCCAAGTGCTGCTGATAACTTGAAACTCAAAAATCTTAGCTTTGAAATGTTTGAATAACTTACACGTCACATAATATATAAACAAAATAACTGATTAGCCGATAATCTATTGTCTTTGGTACACACCATCATTTACTTACAAAGTTTTGATCAATACGGAATTTAAAGTAAAACTTACCTTTAATCAAAGCAAAAATCCATCATGGCGTCTTAAAATTCCTGGAACGCATCACTTCCGTATCAGTTTTAACCCTTTTAAGCTGTACTTCAGCAAATAAGTACATTTCAATATTTGACAAATCTGCATTGATACCTCCAGAAACATCCGACTGACTTTTTTCATAATACATATCATGGGAGTAACTGTATTTTTATAATACAGTTTAAGTAAGTAAATGTAGTGGTTACTAAGTAGTCATGTACTGTATATATTTTTTAAAAATTATTTTTAATGCTAAAGAAAACACTTTAAAAAGTGATTCTCACAATATGGAAATACTATAAAATCGATATCCAAAATATCAAAAATCAATTTTGGAAAAACCGATTGTATATCATTTTGCAGGTAAAGAATACATTAAATGATGCATTCTTAAAAAACATATTGCATGAATATTTCCGAGGACCTAGAATAAGATGCGAAAATGTCAGTTTTGGAGTCCAAGAATACGGACTTAAAATAAACAGCGACATAAAAACCATTCTATTTAAATTTTGTACTTCTATTGCGTATTTGAGGGTCAGGAATGTATAATGGCATATTGGAGAATTTCAGGAATGATATCAAAAAAATTCTGTCAAATGAGATTTTTATACATTCTTTGAGTTCTTAAAGTATCTAAAATTGCTTTTCAAACGTATTTTAAGTTAACTGCATTACATAGGGCGTATTTGTTTATAGTGCTTACGAGGGTGATGAATGATATTAATGGAGGGTTTCTGGAATCAGATGTCCTTTTTATAACTTTTCGATGTTTTTTTTATCTTTTTCTTAACGGTCATGATTGACATTTTTGAAGAAAGAATATACTACGACATGCAGAAACTCGTTCATACTGTGATTATAATATTTTAGAAGTGTTTTATGATGATTGTTTTGATTGCATTCTTGAAAGATTTCAGTGAGGCGTTTTCGATTTTTTTTTGTGAGTTTGTATTATCCATTTCTATGATGTTTTAGATGAACATGAATAATATATTTGGATGTACTCGAAAATAATGTCTATAGTGTTTCAATGGTGTCTATGACGTGTTTGGGTAGCCTCGAAAACGATGTTTAAAATGGTTTCAAGGGGCTAAAAAAGTCCGTTATTAATTTGTTTACCTTTAATTTTTATACTATTTTACGAGGAGCAAAAAAAAAAAACAACGTAGTTTTTTCAAAGACCAGAAATGACATGCTTAAACGTCCTCCAAGATGGTATGTTTAAAATCTTTCAAAGGGTCTAAAATAGTCAGATATCGATTTTATAATATACTAGGACAAGTAAAATAATATGGTATTTTCAAATGTAAAAAATATATGCTAGAGAAGCATCAAAAGGGTCCAAAATGTCAGATATTGACATTTTATATTAAAAGTTAAATAATGGCATATCAAGTGCTTATAGAACATTTGTTAACAATATGCTTAAAAATTAAAAAATGATATATTTATGTTTCATAAAAATGTTGAAAAGGGTCTCAATAATATGCAGCCTCTAAGGAGTTATCGTGGTTTTTTTTACTGATATGATCAAAAGCGTTCCAAATTATTTCTCTCATCGTGAATAAGTGTATTGTAACTTCCAGTGGGTCAATAATGGTGGATTTTTCTTTCCTTCAGATTTTAGTACTGAATTGCTTTTTTTTGTTTTCATCTCATATTTTATTGTCACAATATGATACACTGGGATTGGGCACAGATTCTAACAAATTAAATTAGCCCTCTCACTACATGATACGAGTATCGCAACATATTCAACATGACAACATAATAGCATAATAATGGAAAAAAAGTCTTGCACAGAGAGAGAGAGAGAGAGAGAGAGAGAGAGAGAGAGAGAGAGAGAGAGAGAGAGAGAGAGAGAGAGAGAGAGAGATTTGACTAAGTTGTTGAAATCGTCCAGTAGCGGTTATATATTTGAATATATGATGCAAAATTCTATATTTTTCATTTGCATGGCCCTTTCCCCAAAGTAGTAAATCTAAGCTAACAGTTGCACGTGACACTGAAATTAAATTTATCATCAACTCAGTTCGTTGTCTACTTGACT